GAATCATCACGACTATAAATCCGGCACCATCCAAGTACGTAAATTCTAGCACAAAAAAATGTGATAATTCTGTCTAAAATTTGTTTGAGACCGCAGTAACAAACGTACCGAGAAAAAACGCCTTCAGTTATTTTCAAATGACCAATTCTAACAAATTTCTCGACAGTAAAAAACTAAAGTTTTGCTGCTAAAACAGAAAAGAACGGGAGGAAGTTTCACTCTAATATTAGCACGAGCTGGTAGTGTAATGGATAGTAGAGTAGAAAGATTCGACTTAGGTGTCATGTACAAAAAGACATTTTACGATGCAGTCTGTGATTCATCTCTTAGCTATAAACACAGACAGGACTGTGCATGCGGATAGGAGTGGGAATCGTCAGTAATGGATAACACGTCATGATTCGAAAGATGCTCAAACAATGAAAATAAAAGATTCAATTTTTTCTCTCACCCCCTGCTCATTTGCAAAAAGATGGCTCTGTTCACGGCAAAAAAATAATTTCATTACCGTAATTTTGACATACTTAATTTTATTTATAAACTTCAATTTTGGTTGCCGCCGTTCTCAAACAACAAAATTCGATTCCTTAACTAATCGCTCTGGACCGATTTATTCGTTACGATGGTAAACTGGATTGTTTTTAAGTGAATTTCAGAAGAGGGATCCATCGAAAGCCTCGACAGTAAGCATTTGTTGGCACCTATACCAATCGGGTTACTTGCAAATGTCTTCAGTTCTCATAGGAAGTGGAATATATGAGATTTGATTTTGACTGCCAATGTGAATTTCAGTGGAACAAATAGCCCCCACCATAATACAGGACATTTCGACTGCGATCGATACTCATTTACATTATCATTCGCCCTCCAAACGATTACTCTTACACGAACTTCACGGCAGTTGTTGCGACATCGTTTTAAATACGTTAAATCGTTTAATTGCTCAGCATTATCAAGGAAGGAAGAAGAACTAACTTGCAAGCTGGACAAATTGGAGTGAAGCGACACTGCACAGACAGACACACCGAACAGACCCATCCAATGCTTACTGGAGTGCCGTGACAGTAGCAACTCGCCCGGTAGTCCACAGACATCGATGAATTTGATGGAAAAGCTGCACGCAACGATGCTCCGCAAAGTGCAAAACACTAAAATCATAAATATAAAAAAGATGTGTGCGTATGTTTGTGTATGTGTGCCTGTGTATGTAAATGTCTGTGTGTGTCTGTATATGTGGGTGTGTGTGTCCGTGTATGTGTGTATGCTTGTGTATGTATGCACTTGAATAATTAGCATCCAGAAATACCAAAGCTGAAAAACTAATATTTTAGGACTACAGTTCATGAGACTTCATACAAAGATAAAAAACTTCACTAAATTTACAAAGCCCTTTTTGTTTTGTCCGTTTGCCTCAAATTTAAATCTCGGCTGGGATTTCAAGTGTCTCCTATATTATTATTTAAAAAAAATCTTCACTGATCGTTTTAACCCGATTTCTTCTGAAGGGCTCTACGCTGAGAGATCAACGAAGTTTCGTTTTCGAGGCCTCAAAGAATATTTCTTTTGTCGAAAAATTTGCTAAAACAGGAATTTAAGCATTGAGAAGGGTGAGAGAGGGAGAGCGCAGGAAGCCGTACGTCACATTAGCAATACTTACCGTCGTATACTGCAACAGTTGTCGTGGATTCTGCACATTAAAGTACGTTCCACCAGTTATATCGCTTGCTTGTTGTAAAATTGGTGCTGCTTCGCCTAAACTATGCTTTAATTTTGACAAAACGACAGCGAAAATATGCAAGAATTTTAGCAAAAATATTAAAAATATCATTTCGTTGTTGAGGAAGCAAACGACTGCTTGGTCGATTTTGAAGAGTGGCGCAAATATGCCGAACCAACGATAGGTGCTCAGTGGAACTATGTGGCTCAGGACCGAAGGACCAAGCATAACTGCATTTGACGTGTAGAAGAATCTTAGTTACTTCCCCAACAAGAGAATCTTACACAGAACGTCTAAGCAATTTTGGTATTCTTGGCGTAAAAAAGTAAATAGTATCCTCACAACAACGATGCCCTGGCTTCAAAACCAGCAAAGTTTCCGGGTGTTTCCAAGGGTCTTATTGATAGTTTCATATATCTATAAAATGAAGAAGCATTTGTCAATGCATACTCCCAAATGACGGATCCCAGAGAATAGCAAAGTTCACGTTAACACATCATCTATTAGCCTTCTATTTTCCCCAAACCTATTATGCACAGACTTATTTTCATACTCAGTGCTTAAAACTTATTCATCACTTATTTTACTCAATCACTGACAACTTTTCTTTTATGCAAACAATTACTTGTGTGATAATTTGGCCAAATTCCACACTCTTTACATAAATGAGGTATACATCGTAATAGCAAGAACCAGTAATTTAAGCAGGCGCAGCTAGAAGAAATAGATTTTAACGTCTCAAAGATATCAGGTTGCCATAAGCCTGAGAAAATTACGCAAGCAGTACCTAACATATCTCAAAACAGCGCCACATGATCAAAAGAATAACTCTCGAAAAAAAAGAAGCTTTTTAGAGGAAACTGGCGCTCCTCTAAAAAAAAGTTTTCCGACCATATCTGACAGTGGAACCGTTTTTTTCCTGACCAAATTTAGCACTTTTTTGACAAAACAGCAGCGTTTTATTGCAGATTTTTTAGTAAACTGCTGAAATTCTCAGGCGTCACAAGATCACGTTATCTAAAGTTCTCCGCAATGTAACTTCACGACTGTTGTGAAATCAAAGGCAACGAAATAAAAAAAAAAGAAATACCTATATTGGCGATATCGATTATAATGTTATGTTTATGAGCAGCAAAGAAAATATTCATCAAAATATTATGCTCGCCAATCAGATCACTACCAATATTGACCAGAAGAATACGACCCTCGCCATTATCAACTTCATTCTTGAAACGACAAATATCTAAAAAATGCTACTATTCGCAAATTTTAAAAGTAAATTACGCA